GTGTGTGTCCTCGATGCGTCTACAGTTGTTGAGTTATATTTCTTTGTGTGATATGTATATTCACCTGCGAGAGTGAATATGTGATGTCAATCCCAAATGAACATTACAGTTGTGTGAATTAAAGTTTACATGATGAGAAATTTCGTGTAAACATGTTGATTTTTTTTGGATTTTGAGATTTTGCGCAACGATGCAAGTCGTGTGTGTGCGTGCATGCGTTCAAGACAACCGAACAGCGACAGTGTTAGCTATGAGGTGACCTGCAGATGCCCGAGCTGCCTGGCCCTTCACGCCCACGCCCTTCGCTGGAAACTTATCGAGGGTGAGGGCGAACTGGACCTTGCTTCGCGCGGCCAGGGGCTCGGAGGCGCGAGGCTGTGAAAGAGGCTCCTGCCAGCTGATAAGATCGCCTTCCTAATGACTCCGAGGGCGAGGGAAGTGCGAGTGTGGAATCGGACATGGCGATTTCCGCGCCCTTCGCTCCAGTTCCCGGGGCGGCCCGCGGGAACAGTGAATTCGTTCAAGTGAAAATGTTGCAATTATTCGAAACATTATCATCTGTATCAAAATCTTAGTGGCTGTTGATATTTCATAAATATGTAAGGAAGTATGTAGGCCTATACCAGTATTTTACGTGTCATGGCTAACTCCGAACTAGAAAAGCTGATGCACTTGGTCGTTGTGCACGGGCGCATTGTTGGCGCACCTGCCTCGCACAGGTGTATCCGAGGAGAGTCGTGTCAGGTGAGACGAGGCGCTGACGAGAACACGAGACGCGACTTGGCCGTAATGCATACCAACCGCTGTGGTCGTCTCCGCACTCCTGGCAGCCCCGAGCCATGGTCATGCATGATATAACAGGGGATGTGATATAAATTTCTCGATTGACCATCTCTCTTCTCTCTTTTCGTCTAGTCTCTCTCTCTTTGTATTTGTATGTATCTCTCTCTCTCTCTCTCTTTCTCTCTTCTTTCTCTCTCTCTCTCTCTCTCTCTCTCTCTCTCTCTCTCTCTCTCTCTCTCTTCTTCTCTCTCTTTCTTTCTTTCTTTCTTTCTCTTTCTTTCTTTCTTTCTTTCTTTCTTTCTTTCTTTCTTTCTTTCTCTTTCTCTTTCTCTCTTTCTCTTCTTTCTTTCTCTCTCTCTCTCTCTTCTCTTCTCTCTCTCTCTCTCTCTCTCTCTCTCTCTCTCTCTCTCTCTCTCTCTCTCTCCATCCTCCTTGTCGTCTTCCTTGCCATGCTTTGCCTTTTCTCTTCCTCCAGCCACCTCACCTTGTGTCTCGGCCGCCCTACCACACCCAATTGGCTTTTATCCTTATAACCACGCCCATCTTATCTGTTCTTCGCCACACTCTAGGACTTTTCTTCGTTTTCTCTCATTCTATCGATCATTTTAATTTCTCTGTGTTTTACTTTGAGTGTCGACTATGGGAATTGTATATATTTTGGATTCCGAGCGTCCGAATTCCGGTGAAAAATATGTGTAGAGGAAAAAAAGAGGGTTAATTGATGTGTGATTTCGCTTAGATATATATTCTGGCCTTATCTGGCCGGGTGTCTGACGGGGAGGGAAGTGTAGAGATAAGACCCGCGTGCTTTGTCCTCTTCACTTCGTCTCGTTTTGTTTTGTTTTGTTTTATCGTGTGTGGCGAGTCGTTTGCGAGTGATGCGAAAGGGGCCGTTGCGCTGTTTGGCCCGACGAGAGGAAGTGCATGCGAGCCGATAAGGATTCAGGTAAATGGAGCCCGGACAGGTAGGGATCATGGCCAGCCAACGGTCCAGACGTAACCGCCGAGTCGTGGAAACCATCCTTCTCTCCCCTCCCCCTCCCTCCCCCTCCTGGCTGGCCATCCCCCCTCCTCCACCTCTGCCCTCTTCCCGCCTCCATCCTCTCTCTCTCTCTCTTCCTCCTCGCTACCTGGTCCTCCCCATTCTTCTCCCCCCCCTCTCTCCCTCCTCTTTCCCTCCTCGGTGTTCTGTCTTTGGCCGTCCGTGCGTGCGCCCGGGAGGGCGAGGGGGAGGGGACGGGAGGGACTGCACGCACTCCCTTGTCGCTACCGGCGGTCACACCTGCCGCTCGTGACGCCGTGGTCGCATAACTGCCTGGCTGCTCACTGCCGGATTTCGCGCTTTTTGTCGTTTCAGTCTGTCCGCCCCATCCACCTGTCTCTCTCTCTCTCTCTCTCTCTCTCTCTCTCTCTCTCTCTCTCTCTCTCTCTCTCTCTCTCTCTCTCTCTCTCTCTCTCTCTCTCTCTCTCTCTCCTCTCCCTCCCTTCTTCCCTCGCTCTCTTTCTTTCGCTTTTCCTCTCTTCTCTCTCTCTCTCCCTCTCCAACTACTCATTTCATTTTCCCATCCTTCTCTCCTTTCCTGCCAGTCAACCTGCCCCCCCCCCTCCTCTCCTCTCCTCGAGTAGGGATTCCGTGACAGCGTAACGTTAGAGCATCAAGGACATAACGAAGGCGTCATATCACAGCCTCTGCCTTTCAGCTGTCACTCTCTCTCTCTCCCTCTCCCTACCTCTTCCTCCTTCCCTCCTTCCCTCTCTTTCTCTCTTTTCTCTCTCTGTCTCTCTCTTTCTCTTTCTCTCTCTCTCTCTCTCTCTCTCTCTCTCTCTCTCTCTCTCTCTCTCTCTCTCTCCTCTCTCTCTCTCTCTCTCTCTCTCTCTCTCTCTCTCTCTCTCTCTCTCTCCTCTCTCTCTTCTCCTCACCCCTCTTTCTCTTCCTTCCTCTCCCTTCTCTTCCACTCCTCATCTTCCACTCCTCTTCCTCCTTCTTTCCACCCTTCTTCCCTCCCTTCGCGCGCGCACACACTCGAGACGCCACTCTTTCACCCTCTCTTCTCTCCCTTCCCTTCCCTTTCTAAACACTCTTTCCTTTTCTTATTATCTCCTTTCGTGTCTCCTCGGCATCGTCACTAGGGGAGACTGACAAGGGGAGTAGGAAGGGGGGGGGGGTGATAGTTGTCGATCCATGGGGAGAGAGAGAGAGAGGGAGGAAGAGGAAGAAATCGAAAGAGGAGGGGGAGGGGGAGGAAGTAGCCGACCCTCTCTCCCTCTCTCTCCCCTTCCCCTCATGACTGGTGGGTTATGAGTCACCCATACTTTTCTTTCCATGACTCCGAGTCCCTTTCTTCCTCCTTCTCCCTCTCTCTCACCTTCTCCCTCCCTCTCCCCTTCTCCCTCTCTCCCTCCTTCCCCCCTTCCCTCTCCCTCCTTCGTTCCTTCTCTGATTATATTGGTTTTTGATTGTTTGTCCTCTCGTCATTTCTCTCTTCGGTCCCATTTTTATTCAGTGTTCCGATCTCATAAATCTCACTTTTTTCATTTCCATTTCGCATTCTACTTCTTTTTTTAATTTTCTTTCTCTCTCTCCCCTCTTCCCCTTCCTCTCCTCGCTTCCTCGCCGTCACATTCTTCGAGAAGGACAATGACAAGCAAATCCCAAGACACATACGGTACTTCGACCTAACCACAGTAGAAAAAAATAAAGAAAAGGAAAACGCGTATTTTGAAAGAGAAAAATAAACATATATTTTTATTATTATTTTTATTTTACATTTAATTTTGTTTCACTCTCGTCCCTTGTTTCTTATAATTCAAACTTTCGTCTTCAACTTTTTGGTAGTCCGTTAGTTGTTTGTTTGTTTTTGCATCGTACTTAAGATATTCATTGCATGACTCACCCCACACGCGTCGCTCAGTCGGTCATGCAGAGCTGGCAACCCGAGTGAGACGCATTCATTCACTAGCAGCGACACGAAGCAACAGAATACAAGCCGAAATACGATCGAGTCCCAGCTGATTTTTGTTTACTTTTTTATGAATCACTAGTTTTTTTTCTCTCTTGTTTTTTTTAATGGTGTTTCCAGTTTGTTAGATGGCCCAACAGGTGGCGCTGTCTGTTGCTTATCCGTTTGTTTGCGGTTCTGGCGTCGTCTCTGTTGATTGCTGTTTGGGTTTCATTTTCATTCATTGGCGGGGTGTGATGAGGAGCATCTCTCTGTTGGTTTGTTGGTCTGTTTTCCTTTCATGGGTATTTTTCTCCCATCCTTTCATCTTCTCCTCCTCTTACTCATCTTCATCTTCATATTCCTCCTCCTCCTCCTCCTCCTCATCATCATCATCATCATCATCATCATCATCATCATCATCATCACCACCAACACCACCATCACCATCATCATCACCTTCACCATCATCATCACCTTCACCATCATCATCATCATCATCATCATCAAACTATATCCTCTCCTTTCCTCTCCCGTGTCCCCGTTTCCTTTATATCAGTTCCCTTCCTCTTTCCCTCCGTTTCCTTCCTTCCTCCTCGCCGTGCAATCCACTCCTCATTACCTCACAATCCGTGCAAGTGCTGATAAGGTGGTGTTTCCTCCATCTTGCAACCTAGGCTGGCGGTGAGACTTGCGCGATAAGCCATATCAGCAAAATGCACTGGTATGCAAGGGGGTGGGCTGGGTGTTGGCTGGTGGGGGGGGGGGGGTATGTCTCGCGCTGTTCCTTCTCCCTCTTCTCTTCTCAGTGTGTGTATACATACGTGTATGTATATACAAACACACACGCACGCATACACAAACACACGCACACGCAAACACACACACACACCACACACGCACTTCTCACTCACACTCACTCTCACTCACTCACTCACACAACACTCACACTCACACTCACTCACTCACACTCACTCACTCACACATCACTCACTCACTCACTCACTCACTCACTCACTCACTCACACACACACACACACACACACACACACACACACACACACACACAACACACACACACACACACACCACACACACACACACACACACACAACACACCTGGCCGTCACCTTGGAGGTAGAGGTCAGGTAAAGCATGAATATTGCACCAGGCCTGAAGGTCGAGAGATCTGTCAATTGTCTCTTTGCCATTTGAAAATTTTGTTGCTAAGTCACAGCTGGTGGCCGTTAATTTGGGCGCCAGTTGGTTTGCTCTCGT